CCCAAACAAAAATCCATTTTCTTTCACTCAATTCAAACTAAGAGAATCAACATTACTGGTCACCTTTGACACAGTACGTGACTATCGAGTCATTAATTAGGCTATCAACAACGTTGGTGTGAATCCAAAATACCATATCAGCAGTATATGGCATCTCAGTAAAAAGTATCACAAGGTTGTTGGATGCATCTACAGCCTTTCACTGTGCTTGGCTAACAGATATGTTTGGTTGTCCCGTAACTCAAATCTGACTTCAATCTATATCAGATGCTGTATATCGATTCTGCAAGAAAGGCATTTTTACAGCTTTGGCGTAGAAATGAAATCAGCCTCACGACAAAAATCCGAGTTTTCCTCGCAGCAGTCCGTCCTGTCTTGCTATACGGTTGCGAAACCTGGCCACTTATAGTCGAAGACTGTCGCAGATCAGAATTCTTCGATCACTTATGCTTAAAAAACATTCTGAGTACAATGGAGGGATCAACTCTCGAATAAATCGGTGTTTTAATCTTGTATGGCTGTAGACGCTAATACGACGGCGGCGTCTACAATGGTTTGGTCACATTCGTCGTAAGTCTGATAAGTACCTGACCAAAGCTGTCTTGGCACCGACTCACTGCCCGAACTGGCGCTGTCGAAACGGTGGAAAAATGCCACAGATGGTTTCACTTACCGTTTCAGCAAGACATGCGACTATCACTTCAAATTTAAGCATCCGCAGAGTAAATTGAAGCCTGCCGGGTCTAGTAGTGGAACCTCGTGAGACATAATCCACGGCGGAAACAAGCATTAAAACCCCCAACAAAACCTCAGTCCAGTTCGTTGTGCAGCGTCACAAACCGTTTTCCCCTTAATGATCTGTATACATTGATATATATGTCTAGGACCTGAACAGCCATCAAGCACTACCCCACGGGAATTACAGCCACTGCAGAACGAGTGTGCTAGATGGACCGCACGCACGAACACAATAAGGTTATTTCTGGTGAGCCTGGGTTTTGAGCTTCACTAAGATTGCTTTGAGTTTCAACCAATGAAAGCCAGATTAACGTACATATGGCAAAGGGACGAAACAACGAATTCGGGAGGCAAATTTCATTTGTGGTCCATAACAAATATATGACATTTTTGTCCATAAGTTGTTTCAACTACTGACAGTGTGTTAGTAGTATTAATCTGAAATAGACCCAACATAGATTCGATAACTCGTTTATATCAATGGCTAACGGGGGCTATAACACTAAAAGCTCTCAACACTCCATAAGTATTGCAAGGGAAGGCAGTAGACACTTGATAAGTTCAGTCGGAATTTGTTTATTTCAACTAAATGAAATCCAACGTTTTTCGTTTTGCCACGCTACACACGCACATCAGCAATTTATTTCCATTATGAATTCAACACGATTTGTTTCTAGTCAAAGGAGACAATAAAACAAAGTCGAATAACACACTACTTGATCACAGGAAGAGAATATCAACACGAAAATGTTTTGAAATAATTTACAAAATGAAAATTCAGTTTGCAGTCTTATTAAAATAGAAAAAAAGAAGAGTCCACGGTGGATAAAGTCAACTTACGTGTTTCAACTCTTGATCCTCGCGATAATTCATAACGGTAAAGTGTCTTCCGTAGTTATCGAAATCGTTCAGATCAAATGACCTATGCGGAAAATGGACCAAAGGAACGACACTGATACTACGAGCACGAGTGACCTGACAGACAGTAATGTGGGTACGCGGAAGTCAGGGGAACGCTACACGTGATCATCACTGATAGGGTAAGGTTTATCACATATTGACATGGTATAATTTATACATTATTAAAATACTGCAAACTGGCTCTGGTATCCGATTTGCTGGGATAAGACGCACCAAATCCACAAAATCTAACGCGGAATTATACGTAAGTCTGTCGCCAACTAACTTCCTGAGATGCCAATGAATGTGCTGTAACTTGATTCCCATTGAAGTAGAAGTATAAGAGTTAACCGGTAGAGTAGTTCCGGGTACGCATTCCTGTCGAGCAGTAAAACATAAGCGAAACTTCGTGTGTACTTCTGGGAACTTTACTCTGTCATTCATATAATATACGCTATTATATAAATATAACTCTCGTAATCAGAAGAAGTAAATATCCCGACTCTGGTCAAGTATATTATTGAGGGGAGTGACAGAAAATAGGTTTCACCGGATGAAACTTACTGATTTGCAAATCGTAACCAGAACACGTTGGAGACAAACAGTTTCAACGGGTGTACTGAACGAAGTAGTATCACGTAACGCACATCAAACTTGACACTGGCATTCAGATCGTCCCGATAGAACAGCACAGGATCAGTGACGTAACGACTTGCAATCTGGAAGAGAGATTGAGAACCTGAATAGTCTAACGTAATCTAGTATGTACACCGATAATAAGTGATCCTGGAAAGTACACTATATCACCAGAGTTTGGGTTGTTCATTGGTCTTAAAATGAAACAAACATATGGAGTTTAGTTGAAGCGTGTTTACCTGAATAACTTTTGCTTCAGTCAATGATTTTTGTGATAAAGGCAACAGGATGTCGAAGGATATGAGAAAACACAGGGATCGGTTATCGGTAAGATTGAAGAAAACGGTATTGATCAAACTCGCGCAATACCCTGACTTTCATCAAATTTGATCCTCCCAAAGCTTAGTGTTTCCAGCATCATTCACAGTATTGAACATGATATTTCCCTACATCAGACGCAAAAAATCTGCTATAATATCCACTTACGTTTTTGCTTTTATTGGTCGAATGCCATTAAAATGTACGAGTTCTCGATTTCAACGACGGTTATATATATACATTTGATAATAAGTAGTATGTGAACGACTGGGCAAAATTTCCCTGGAAGCACACAACCGGTTTCGCGGTTCTTGCCGCTCATCAGGCATGCGTATCCGGTAATCTTTTGTCAGTTCATTCATGTACTCGTACCCAGGAAGTATATATATATATAATTCTGCAAATTTGTCGACCAGGAAAAGTTTAGAATGGACAGTTTGGATATGGAAATTTCAACCCAACCTCGGAAACAATACATGCAACTGGAAAGCACACCGAAGACTTCGTCAACTTCTTTTAGGCGAAATTCTGAAGAGCCAGAAAAATTCACAGAGTGCCAAATGAGCCGTGCAAACTGACACCGAAAATTCGTCCTCGATTTTTTCTCTCCGTGTTCGCATCCCACCACTACCACCCTATTTTCTTCCTTGTGTATTGTACGGCAGCTCTTTGGTTGGCCGCTTCCACCCCCCACCCCCTACCTGAAAGTTGCCTCACTACATTCAACTATTAAACAAAAAGAAGTAAAAATGATAAAGAAAAAAAAGGAATGAAAACTGTGCCTTCGAAAGAAATCACGAACCTGAATATCACTGTTTGCATTTCCACCCGTGGGATGATGCATTACGAATAGCAAGGGAATATTCAGGCAGTGTTTTTCCCCGATAATCATTCTACACACTGATAGGCATCTAAGGCTAAGTTACTGAGTGAATTTTCTTTCTGTTATCTACCTACTTATAGCCCATTTCCAAATCTCTTTAATGGCTTCAACGTTCTGTGGAGGTCTTGTTGAAAGAGAACGGATAAAAGCCCACCAGTTTACCAAACAGCCTGTGAAGATGCATGCCGGATGCTAGGTACAAGAATTTCGTCATAAATATATTATTAATATTATAAAAAATGTGAGATACAGTTTTACATTCACACAATTATTTATAGATTGTTCCTATCTGAAGATTTTTTTCCTCATTGATAAAAGAAGACGCTTTGGCGTGCGGTTTTTCAACCGTAATGTAACCCACCTTAACCGCGAAAGACCTGTAGATGAACCATTGCTCGTTTTGTTATCAACTGTTGGCAGTCAAGATTTTAACACATTGTGGACCGCCGACTGAAATTCTAGCACCGCCTCTTTCACAACCCACTTAGCTTGAGGTGACCGACGAAAAAACCATAGTCAGGCGATGCTTCGATCCAAATTAGTTGTTTCGCGTTACTCACCAACGGGTTCGTATCACACAGTCGGATAATTTGATCCAAATTGTTAGAGATCGTAATGCCAAAGCCACGACCGGTATTCCATGGTTTCAGAATCCAAATATTGTGGCGCTGTGCCGCATTCAGTGCTTTACGCAGCTCACTGGGCTCCTCTCTAACTCGATAGAACGTACATCGGGGGCAGTTTTGGTCGGAACAACGCTTCTGGTCTGAGCTGTCAATGTGCCCACCGTTATCCTCAACGTTCTCTTGTGCTTCAATCTCTTGCTGTCATTCAGTAAAACAGACAAAGGAAGGAACGGCATTGATATGTCATTCTTTGACAATAAAGTACTTGGTGTGTTGGTAGAAGTTCAATTCATTTTATTGCAGATGGTGGAAACCGAGAATGCAAACTTGAATTTCTTTCGAACGAATTGACATCAAAGCAAAGTAAATCCTGATCACAGGTTTCCCGTGGTTCGTTAGCCCAACTCAACATACAGAAATCGGGAAAAAGAAGGCCAAACATAATAAGTGATATGCACATGCAGTGCGCATTCAGAGCCAACAACGGTCACGTCCGAATACTGATGAATTGACTCATATTCACCCTCTACGGGATCAAAGTTCCCTGAATACACCAATATAATAATTGTTTCGATAAAAAATCATCGCTTAAAAGTTTAAGGAAGGGGACATGCTTTTCTGGAGTTGTGTTCAAACTGAGGTGCAGCAGGACCTTGGTAGTTTTAAAGTTGGTCAAATTTGTAATGAACGAACGTGCCAACTACTTTGTGATCTTAAAAAATAATGGGCAAATTCGGAATCTACTCCCCAATAGTGTATATATGACAATGAGCGGTAATAGAGAATTTGAAAAGCCGCCAGTGATTCGCTCGCTACTAGTACAGGCACCACATGCCCCCTGCGGAATATATGCTATAATGCCAATAATCTGACACTGGAACAAAGTGGCAATGTAAGCGGTCTGATGCTGACCTGTTTTCGTTGAAAATAAGCGACGAATTGGGGCAATTCATAGACCAAATTGAACGTGACCGGATACCAGTCCGTGGTTAGTTGCCGGTTCAATTCAGTTGTGGTGGCAGTGGTCGCATTTTTTGTCCCTGATGCGGAACGAGAGGCATGAAGGCCGGCCAAGGCTGCTAATAGGTCCTTCACGGTGATCACCTGTTCCCCTGGGAACTGATTGACGTACCGCGGTGAAGATGCGGCAGATAGTTTCCTGTGCAAGGCACAAAGAAGAAGAAGAATGACAAAAAAATATAAACACCCAATTCGAATGTTTTGCTCGTCTCTGTACAGTACACCGTAAACGTTTAGAACACAATTTCAGGCGAACAATTGTGTTCAATAACTCATAATCATGCAGTTAGGGTTTCTATAAGGGAAAAAATACTAGGGGTTTTGCTTGTGTATGCATGTCTGTTTATGTGTGATATACACCGCATTCTTAGATCTGTGCTTCCGGGGTTTTCAGCTATGTCACGACGGTCGTGTAACCCAGTTCTGAGGGATCGGTATTGTGTGAGAATGTTTGTGTGTGTGGACAGGGAGGGAGGGCATGAGGGAGGAGTGGGTTCACGAGCCCAGGGGAGATGGGGAGCTTGGATAAAATGTTTCTGGCCACACAGTTCAGGGGTCAAATGCTTAATGCAGATGGCCTCGGCTGTGGCCAACGTGCGCATATTTGGACCGGTTCAGGGGGGATTTGATAAATAATGCGGAATGCTTCACTTGGGTTAACACGATAGCCGGTGCCTACCAAGTGAGCGAGAATCGCACTTGTGATAGATCCGGAACCATCTCGACTCAATCAGCGCGGATGGTGTTCTTTCATGCCGTGCCGTCGGACCGATGTAGGGCGCGTCACAAACTCATCTGAACGAGTAAACAAGCATTGAAGCGGTCAACATCGGTCATTTATCTTTATTCCGTATGGTTATCAGTGGCGAACTCTTGAAAGAGCAGCGTAGGTGAGCGGCGTTGAATGTGGCTTTTATCGCCCCGTTCAGTCGTCTTATATAAACTGTAACGGCTTGATTATGAGTTATTGAAAACAATTGTTCGCCTGAAATTGTGTTCTAAATGCGAGGACGGGCATACTTCGAAATTGGAAACACCGTAAACAACTGCTGAT